GACCTAAGGCTAAAAGCAGATTAAAAAAAAAAAAAAAAAAATCTGTGTGTGCGCGTGCCCGGGAGGGGGGGGGGGGGGGGGGGGGGGGTTCAGAAGAGTGTAGCTAATGTAGACCCTCCCCCTTCCTCAGTCCCTTCCCTTCCCCCAGCCCATGCAAGGCAGGCAGCCCAGGCACTGAACTCTACTTGCTTTAATTACAGCCTCTAGCTAAAGGAAACCTCAATTAGAGAAAAGATCTGTACCAGGAGGGGATTCGAGTCTGGCTGCTGTCCTGTCTGCCTGGCCTTTTGCAAAAAGGGAAGAGTCTTTGTTTTTCCCATCTCGTAATCTTGCTTTCCCTTATTTCTCTAGGACCCACTCTGTGCTTCTTCCCTTACTTGGTGCAGGGCTTGCTGTGTAACCTTGAGCAGGCAGCTTTACCTCTCTGAGCCCATTCCTTAAGCTACACAATGGGGATGTGCTGTGCAGAGAATGTTGGGGATGATAAGAGGGTGTCACTGTTTGGAGCCTTTTTTTTCCTTTTTCAAATTCCATTTATTTATTTAGTGTATACTTGTGCACACACACACGCACACACACACACACACACACACACACGTGGAGGTCAGAGGACAACTTATGGGAGTCAGTTCTCTTCTTCTACCATGTGGATCCTACCTGGGGATTGAACGCAGGTCATCAAGCTTGGTGGCAGGTGGCTTAACCCACTGAACCATCTCTGGCCTCATGGAGCTTCATAAGTACAGGCTGATCCATTGAGAATCCATGGTTTGTTGACTTGGGTGTGCTGTGGTCTAGAGGATGCAGAAGGAAAGTTGACCCCTGAACAAGGATCTGGTTTAAAATAAATCCTGGAATAGACAAGAGGGGAGTAGATTGTGGGAGCCCTTGGTGTCTGGTGGGTCTTCCATAGCAGGCTGTGTTTCAGGTGGATGATGCCATGCTGATGTTTGACAAAACCACCAACCGGCACCGAGGTGAGTATGCCCCCTCCCCCTTCCCAGGCTGGGCCTGGGGCCTGTGGTCAGCCAGGGGGCTGCAGGTCACAGCTGCCCTTTCATCTTGCCTCCTGACATCCTATCCCTGAGGATCTGCATCCTCTCCAGGGCCTGGCCTTACAGAAGGCTTTTGTCCTGCTCTTTCCTGTGCTAGAAACTTGCCCAATTACAGACACACAAGAGAGGCGCGGACACCCCCCCACCACACACACATATGAGTGTTCTGTACCCCCTCACTAGCTGCTGTCTGTGTCTGCCTGGATTTACCTTGTCCCTGGTAACCAGAGCTGAAACTAGGCTGCCCCAGGGTCAGGCTGACTCTATAGCCCCAGGCAGTCTACTCTACCATTGCCTTCCCCCGACCCCCCAACAACCCTAGGCTGAGTCCAGCCCTCAGCCCCCTTGGCCCTGAACCTGGGAGCATCTGGGCCTAGCTATGGAGCTGCCTAGTTGTTTTTCTCCCAAGGGCCTCGCCTTCTGAGAAATGCCATCCTAACCCCTGGGGGCTCCCTGAGGAGGAGGCCGGGTTTCTCTTTTGGCTCCGGCTGGGGCTTTGGGGTTTTTAGCTTCTTTGAGCAGTGGGGCGTGACCTATGAGTAAGTCATGGGTGTGTCAAGGGGACCTGAGTGTGCCTGGTGTGGAAGGGCAAGAATACCTGTAGAGTGCCCCTGAGTGTCTATGAGATGGTGGGGGTTTGCATGTATACCTACATGCCCTGCACATATGTGTCTGTGTAGGAAGGTGTTTGACCATGTACATCTGAGGGAAATAAAAAGCATGTTAAAGCCTGGGCATGGTGGCGCATGCCTTTAATCCCAGCACTTGGGAGGCAGAGGCAGGCGGATCTTTGTGAGTTCAAGGCCAGCTGGGACTACAGGGAGACCCTGTCTCAAAAAGATAAAAAAGCATGTTAGGTGTACAGACATCCCTCCATTTCCATGGGTTTTGCATTCTTGTGTTCAGTCAACCTCAGTTTAAAAATATCCCCACAAAAAGACATCTAAAGGACCGAGAATGTAGCTCAGTGGTAGAGCACTTGCCTAGCCCATGCAAGACCCTGGGTTCTATCTTCAACATTGGGGGGAAAAAAGCCTCCCAAACCCTAAATTACATCTTTACTAAACAGATTTTTTTTTTTTTTTTTTTTTTTTTTTTTTTAAGAGGGGTTCCTTTTTTTTTTTTGAAGCAGGGTCTCCCTGTAGCCCCAGCTGCCCTGGAACTCACTGTGTAGACCAGGCTGGCCTTGAACTCACAGAGATCCACCTGCCTCTGCCTCCCAAATGCTGGGACTACAGGTGTGCGCCACCATGCCCGGCAAGATATTTTTCTTGCCATTGTTCTCTGAGCCATAGAATACAACATGATTTACCTAGCATATACCTTGTGTTTGGTATTAGAAGTGATCTAGAGGTGATTTAAAATTCAGGGGAGGAATTGCATGGGTTCTGTGCAAATGTGCCATTTTATATAAGGGACTAGAGCACAGCATGGATTTTAGTGTACTGAAGGGGTCCTGGAACCTACTCCCATCTCATTCATGGTGGCTCTGCCACTTTCTAACTTGCTGTGTGATCTTGGGCAAGTTAGTTTACTTCTCTGGGCCATGGCTTGCTCATCTGTAATTTGGGACTTGAAACCTTGTCTCAGCTGGTATTTGAGATGCTCTTAGGCTGTGGGCAGAGCCTTTCATTAACTCTCAGACACTTGCCCGCAAGAGATGAGCTGTGGTATCTATAGCATGGGGCTGGGTGTTGACCATGAGCCCCAGGTCTGACCCTGCCCTTGCCCCTTATCTACCCTCTAGGGTTCGGGTTTGTCACATTTGAGAGTGAGGACATCGTAGAAAAAGTGTGTGAAATCCACTTCCACGAAATCAACAACAAAATGGTGAGCTGGGACTAGAGGGAGGTTGGGTGCCCAGAGAGATTGGGAAACAGGCTGATGCAATCAGGGATGCTCTGGGGTCCTGGAGATAGGCAGGAGCCTTCCTGGAAAGCAGCAGAACCTATTCTCCCCTCTAAGAATGCAAGCAGGAAGGCAATGAGTGCCACATAGTGGTTTTAATCTTCTGTCTCTCTGAGCCTAAGTTTTTACATTCATAAAATGGGAATACCAGTTGGGGATGTTGTTAGCAACACTCCTATAACCCCAGCTTTTGGGAGACAAGCAGGAGAATTGTCACTAGTTCAAGGCTAGACATAGCAAGTTTCAAGCTAGCTGGAGCTACACAGCAAGACCCTATCTAAAAAAATAATAATAAAATAAAAGATAAAGGAGAATGGACAATAACATGTCCATCAGTTTGGTTTAAACATTCAATGAATGAACTATGGCCTTTTTAGACAGTGCTTTGCACATAGGGAGCCCTCCATAATTGGTAATTGAAATGGATGATTAAAAGGCCTACCATGGAACAGGAAGCACTGACCATCAGCTCATTGCAGGTGGAGTGTAAGAAAGCTCAGCCAAAGGAGGTGATGTCCCCAACGGGCTCAGCACGGGGCCGGTCTCGAGTCATGCCCTATGGAATGGACGCGTTCATGCTGGGCATCGGCATGCTGGGTATGTGCTAGGCCCACACCTGTGGCTTCTTCTTGCCTGGAACTACTCCTGGGGCTACCAGGGACTGCGTGGGTGTGGCATCTCCGCTGTGGTCTGCCCTCCTGTCTGAGTCATTGGACTTGAGTGAAGGCAAAGCCCAGTCAGGTCTGGCAGTCCTGCCCAAGGTGGAAGCGATTTGGTTGTGGAGTGCTGTCCTCTTGTGGTAGCTCTAAGAATAGTCCATCTGTTCTGTATTTGGTTCTCTCTTACCCATCCATTCACCTGTCCATCCAGTAAATGGGTATTGAGCACCTATGTATGCCAGTCTTTCTTCCAGGAATTCTAGCAATGACTTTGCTGAGATTTGTTGTCTGTCAGGGAAGGCAAATAAGAAGATGAATAAATTTAGAATGAAGTATACAGTACCAAGAGAGCATGGTCATAGGGAAATGGACCAAGATTTTAGAGAACTAAGAAAATAAGTACCAGCTGTGCCAAGTCTACAGGTTGGGTAGGTGCCAGCTATGGGAGGTCAGAAAAGGGAAGGGAAAAGTGTTTCAGATAGGGGGAATAACATTTGCAGAAGCTAAAAGGCAAAAAGAAGACTGTCTCTTATTCACTTTTTTTTTTTTTGTCTTTTTGAGACAGGGTCTCCTTGTAGCCCCAGCTGTCCTTGAACTCACTATGTAGACCAGGCTGGCCTCAAATTCACAAAGATCCACTTGCCTCTGCCTCCCAAGTACTGGGATTAAAGGTGTATGCCACTATGCCCAGCATACTCAACTCATTTTTATGGAGTGGTTTTTGAGGGGCAGTATCCACTCTTATGGGGCTCTGATTCAAGTAAGAGACAGGAGTAAGTGTTACCACAAAGTGACTGGAGGCTGTGGGAGGCTCAAGGAGGCACCAAAATCTCTGTGGGAGCCAGGGAGGCTCCCAAGAGGAGGTAAAGATTGGTATGAGCCTTGAAAGTCAAATAGAAGTCAACTGCACTTTGAAAAGTACTCAGGACTTAGGGTATTAAATGTGTGCTCTACCCTCAGGAAACACACACACACACACACACACACACACACACACACGCACACGCACACTAAACAGAGGCTGGAGAGATTGCTCAATGGTTAAGAGCACTTGCTGCTCTTACAGAGTACATGGGTTTGGTTCTCAGCATCCACAACCACCTGTAACTCCAGTTCTAGGGATCCAGCATCCTCTTCACACTTGCATATATTATGCATATAGACAAGTAGGAACACATAGAAACACATGAATAAAAATTTAAAAAGCAGGTTGGAGAGATGGTTTAGAGGTTAAGAGCACTTGCTGCTCTTGCAGAGGACCTGGATTCAGTTCCTAGTACTCACATGGTGGCTCACTGTCTGGACTCTGTGGGCACCTGCATGCATGTGATACATGCAGGCCAAATAGTCATACATATAAAATAAGAATAAATAAATCTTTTTTAAAAATTTAGGGGGCTGGAAGATGGCTCAGCAGTTAAGAGCACTGGCAGCTCTTGTAGAGGACCTGGATTTTATTCCCAGCACACACATGGTGGCCAGCAACCATCTGTAACTCCAGTTCCATAGGATCCAATGCCCTCTTCTGGCCTCCAAGGGCAATGCACAACACAGGTGCACTTATACATGTAGGCAAAACACTCAAACACTTAAAATAAAAATAAGTAAATTTTTTTAAAAATTAAATAATAAAACTTTAAAAACAACAACAAAAAGAACATCCAGCCAGGTGTGGTGCATGCCTATAATCCCATTACTCAGGAGGCTGAGGCAGGAGAATCATGAGTTTGAGGCTAGTCTAGACTACATAGCGAGATCCAGACTCAAAAAAAAAAAAATTATATATGTCATGGCCCTTTATCCCTAAAATTATACTTTAGAAAAAAAAAACATTTATTATTTTTATTTATCAGAGCTAGGTGTGGTGGTGCCCTTAATTCCAGCACTCAGGAGGCAGAGGCAGGTGGAATTCTGTGAATTCAAGGCCAACCTGTTCTATATAGCAAGTTCCAGCCCAGCTGTCTTTTTGGTCTCAAAAAGACCAAAAAAAAAAAAATTGTTTGTAGAAGGTATGAGTGTGCAGATGCACATGCATGCTTCGGTGTGCCATAGCACACCTGCGGAGGTCAGAGGACAATTTTATGGAGTTGGTTCTCTCCTTCCACCTATCTGTGGTTCTAGGAATTAAACTCAGGTTGTCAGGCTTGTACATTCTACCATTCTCGCCCCACCCCACCCCAACCCTAATAGTGTTCTTTAGAGCATATTTTGGCCTTCCCAGAACAAGATTTGGGCTGGAAGTAGGTTTTACATTGCATTGTCCTGTGTCCTTGTCCTCCTTCCAGCCAGCACATTAAAAAAATTTTAAGTGATTTCTGAGCTGATTTTTCCCTCTTAAAAAATAAAAAGAGGGGCTGGAGAGATGGCGCAGTGGTTTGGAGCACTGGCAACTCTTGAAGAGGACCTATGTTTAGTTCCCAGCACCCACATGGCTGCTAATAACCTGTAACTCCAGTTCCAGGGGATCCAGTGCCCTCCTCGGCCTCCAAGGGCGTTGCACACATACATACATGTAAGCAAAATACTCCTACACATAAAATAAAAATAAAGAATTTTTTAAAAAATAAGAAAAAGATACTTCTAGGGGATGGAGGGATGACTTGGGGGTTAAGACTATGTACTGCTCTTGCTGAGGACGAAGTTGGTTCTTTGCACCCACAGCAGTCAGTTCAGGAGATCTGACACTCTTCTGGCCTTCGAGGGTACCTACACTGACATGCCTGTACACACACACACACACACACACACACACACACACATATATAATTGAAAATAAAAGCAGGGGCTAGAGAGATGGCTCAGCAGTTAAGAGCACTTGCTGCTCTTGTGAAGGACCCAGGTTCAGTTCCTAGCACCCACATGGCAGCTAACAACCATCTGTAACTCCAGTTCCCGGGAATCTTCTAGCTTCCACAGGCACTACACACACATGCACTTACTTAAATGCAGGCAAAACATTCATATGTATAAAATGAAATATTATTTTAATCAAATCTGTTTTTTTTAAATATTTTATTTATTTTTATTTTATGTGTACAAGTGTATTGTCTGCATGTATGTGAGTGCACCTGTGTCGTGCAGTGCCTCAGAGGTCAGAAGAGGGCTTCAGATTCCCCTGGAACTGGAATTAAGGATGGTTCACAGCCATCATCTGGGTGCTGGGAATTGAACCTGGGGCCTCTGCAAGAGCAGTCAGTGCTCTTAACCGCTGAGCCATCTCTCCAACCCCTATTTTAATCAAATCTGTTTTTAAAAAGAAAAGGAAAAGAAGACCTCTAATAAATAGTGAGGATGGGGAGTGGGAAGATTGCTCAGTGGGTAGAGTACTTGCTTTCCAAACATGAGGTTCTGAGTTCAGATCCCGAGCACCTACATAAAAGCTGGGAGTGGTGGGGTATATCTGTAACCCCAGTGCTGGTCACCCAGTCTAGCCAATCAGCGAGCTCCAGGTTCAGTGAGAGATCCTGTCTCAAGGTAGAAGGTATTAGAGGAAGACATCCAACATTGACCTCTGGCCTCCATATGCACACACATGCATACACCACACATACAAATTTAAAAACAAAAACAGGTTGGTGGTGAAGAGCCTGTTTGGGCTCTAGTGCACCACTCTCATTATAAGAATTTTCTTTTGAATGATTGAACATCAGCACTTTCAGAATTCATGAGATAGATTTCAGGGACGATCATGGCCATGGAGGGAGAAAGTGAGAGTGACAGAGTTTCTTTGCCTCGGGGAAGAGCTCCTGTGGGAAGATGCATCTGACACAAGGCCTCAGGCATGTAAGATCTCAGAGGCAGAGACTACAGCATGTGCAAAGGCCCTGAAGTGGGATGAGCTTTGCAAATTTGAGAAGCACCTATAAGGCCAGAGTGGCTGGAGCAGAGGAAAATGGAGGCAGCATGTGGGAGATGAGGGCAGCAGGAGGACAGGAGCTAGAGCAGGAAGGAGTAGGATAAAAGGGCTAAATTGTTCTCAGTATTACCGTTTCCACGTCTGTAAAATGCCTGTTGCAGTAGCTTGTGAGTTTTAATGAGATACTAAAATCTACACTGTGCTTAGCACAGGGCTTGGTCTGCAGAAAGTTGCAGAAAACTGCAACTGCGGATTACCAGTGGTAGGAAGTGGAGGAGGGTCACAAGCAGCTCAGATCCCAGCCAGGAGCACCCCAGCTGTGGGCAAAGCATCTGATGATGCCCCTTTGTACCAACAGGTTACCCAGGTTTCCAAGCCACAACCTACGCTAGCCGGAGTTACACAGGCCTGGCCCCAGGCTACACTTACCAGTTCCCCGGTAAGTCCTTCTCAGTGACCCTCTGCCACTAGCATGTCCCTGGCTCTCAGGTAGTGTGATTCCTTGGGGTGGTGGTATCTGGGGTGCATGGTTGGGGTCTGCCTGCTGGAGGTTTGAAAGGAAGGGTACAGATAAAGAAGGAGATCCTTTTTCCACCTCCTCCAACCCCCTCCCCATGAGTAAGGGCTCCTGGCACAGCCTTGCATGGCACAGTTCTTTCCAAGACCTTTTATTCTCTGCCTGCCTTCTACCTTTCTGTTCTCCCTGTCTGAATCCAGGTTGCCGCTTCAACCAAAGATGACACTGGACTTTGGGTTGGGGCTTCCCTGAGGGTTGCTAGTCATGTCTTCACAGATAGAACAGGTGCTGTGCTGAGTCTACGCAGCCTTTCTGAAAGCTGAAATACTGAAAAGCCGCTTAAAACCATTATAATCACCACCCTCCTTTTGTAGTTCAATATACAGATAACACTAGACCTATTTAAACTAGTCTCTGAAAGCCTAGCAAACTTCTGGACTGTCCTGGGATTATTGAATATTATTTTCTTTGAAGTATCAAACTGTTTTGAGGCTCTTAGGTGTTTACATAGTTCTGGAGACGGAACCTAGGACCTCACAGATGCTAGGCCAGTACTGTACCACTGAGTTATGTCTCTAGAATTATCTAGTATTTATATATTTATTCATTCATTTATTTATTTTTGAGACAGAGTCTCATATAGCCTAGGCTGACCTCAAATTTGCTATGCAGGCAAGAATGACCTTGAACTTCTGATCTCCTGCCTCCAGCTCTTGAGCGCTCAGATTGTGCTCAGATTACAGGTATAACCTATCATACCCTGTTTATGCAGTGCTAGGGATTGAACCAGAGCCTCATGCAAGCTGGGCAGGCACTTGACCAACTGAGTTATATCCGAGATCCCTAACCATTATTTATTATATTTTTTTGCAGTTCTGGGGATTGAACAAAGGGTTTCAAGAATGCTAGACAAGTGCTCTACCACTGAGCTATGTCTCCAGTCCATATTGGGTCTTATTTATTGGAGGGGTCCCTAAGCATTTGCATCCTCTGCTCCTAGCTGTTTAATTTGGAGTCCTTGGTACATGTGTTGTCATACCTCCCAGGAATCTCATTTTATAGACAAGGAAACAGACAAGTTGCCACAGTGGCTCAACTAGGAAGTGGCAGCACTGGGAACTGATCCTAAGTCCTACCTCCTCCAGAGCCACTCCCTTTCGTCACACTGACTCCCCAACTCTTTTGGGGCCTAAGGATCCTGGGAGGAATCTTAGTTGCAATCCTAAGCCTTTTAAGAAACATCCAAAATCTGGGTGTGGTGGCTCATGCCTGTAATCTCAGCGTTCAGGGGTTTGAGGCAGAATCAGTTGTTGAGTTGGAGGTCAGCCTGGGCTCTAGAGACCTTTTAGAAAGAAAGAGACAAAGACACACCCCAGACAACTGCCAGGTATGGTGGCACACAGTTACAATTCTAGCATTTGAAAGACTGAAGCAGGATAATTGAAAGCCAGCCTGGGCTGCAGGGTGAATCCAAGGCTAGCCTGAGTAACTTAGACCCTATTTCAAAATTTAAAACAAAACTAAACAAAGGCATGTGGCACATGCCTTTAGTCCCAGCACTCAGGAGGCAGAGGCAGGCAGATCTCTGCAAGTTTCAGGCCAGCCTGGTCTACATGGTGAGTTCTAGGTCAGCCTACAGCTACACAGTGAGACTCTGTCTTAAAAAAAAGGTCGGGGAGGCACTCAGAGTGTAGATCAGTGATAGAGTGTCTGTCTAGCTTGCATAAGACCTTGAGTTCAATTCTCAGGACCACCAATAAAAAAATAAAGAAGAAAAGCAAAGCAGTTATAGTGCCAACATTACCCCGTGCCCAGGTTTAGGTGGCAACTCTGTTCCCATCCTCTTTCTCTCCTCTCTATTCTGTGTAACCCCCACCCCATGCCACCTGCTGGGGACTGTGCTCTGCTCCCTCCTTTCCCAGCTATATGGTCCTGTGCATGGCCTGTCCTCTCACCCAGGATCCCTGTGGGTGCATTTATAACCCCTGGGCCATGCCCAAGGGGCCTCCCCTATTTCTTCCTAAGCTGTTTTACGTTTCATTTTAGAATTCCGTGTAGAGCGGACCCCTCTCCCGAGTGCCCCAGTCCTCCCCGAGCTTACAGGTCAGTCGCTCGGATTTTGTACATCTCATAGGCCACATGGGGAGAAAGAGAAGGGTTGAGGGACCTTCCTGGGGAAAACCAACAGGACCCTTTCCTCTTGCCCACCAGCCCCCTGGCTGTGAGGACACAGAAAACTGTCCTGGGCACTGGCCATTTGGTAAAGCTCCATGGCCCTGAAGGGTGAGGCGTAAGCCTAAGAAGCCAAGCAGATGGAGGCAGTTATTTATACATTTGGCAAATATTTATCTAGCACCTCCCATGTGCCAGGCACCACCAAGGCTCTAGTACCCAGTTGTGAACTGGCCAGGGTTGCAAATTCAGAGCACAGTGGGCCAGCAGAGTGGGGAATGGGGTACTTTGCACATGGAAGTGGACATGCCTGTACCCAGAGCCAGCCCACTCTTGCCAAGGGGATGCAGACCCAGTACTACATCTCGCTTCTCCCAGGAAGCCAAACCCCAGTTTTGCTGTCATATGAATTTTTCCAACATTGTTCTGTCTTGGCAGCGCATCTCAAATTACCAAGACAGTGTGGGCCAAATGACATCTAATGGCCAAATCTGGTCGCAGGGCTGCCTATGAGTGATTTCTAGGAAAACGGGGTGAAGGTGTTTGGCCATGAGGGCCAAATAGCTCAGCTGTGGACCTGGGCGGGGGGTGGGGGGAGGCTGAGTGTGGAGGAGTGCTCATGAGGTGGACCACAAGTGGGTTTCTCTGTCCAACCTGCTTCTCCCCTACCTCATCCTCAGACTTTTCCCACAGCCTGGCCGTGTGTGGGGGACATGAGCATGGACACTGCTTAGAATGGGATCTTCCTCCTAAGGGGTGTTCAGGGAGCTGTCAAAATGAGAGAGGGAGAAGAGAGATATGAGGTGAAGGAAAGGAAGGAGCAGAGCCCTAGTGGAGGAGACACAGTGGTTTGCCATGAGCAGAAGGCCCAGTAATAAGAGCTAGATGGTTCCTTTTTCCTTATGTAAGAACTGTTTGTGATCTCTGTGAGATGGAGCCAACCTGGTCTCCATAGTGAGTTCCAGGTCAGCTGTGGCTATAGGGAGACCATATTTCAAAAAACAACAAAACAAATCAAAATTTTAAAGAGCTGGGCATGGTGATGCATACCTTTAATCCCAGCACTCTGGAGGCAGAGGCAGGTGGATCTCTGTGAGATAGAGGGCAACTTGGTTCCATAGCGAGTTACAGGTCAGCTGAGGCTATAGGGAGATCCTGTCTCAAAACAAAACAAAAGAAATGTTTGTGAATACGTACTATGTGCAGCATGTACTGTCAGGCCAGGGGGGCAGACAGTGGCAGGACCACCAGGCCCCGCTTTTACCCAATGTACAGACTAGTGAGATAACAAATATTTATTATACCAAAATCTTTACATTGTGGTAAGCACTCAGTGAGGTTGGCTACTCTCACCGTTTGCTTTGTGTAGGTCCAGCACCAGACCTCAGTGCCCAGTGTCAGGCCCTGCAGGCCTGAGTCAGGAAATGTCAGTGCTAAAGGTATCTTGGCAAGAGAGGCCATGGGTTCCAGGCTGTGCAGCCCTTGGGAGTGTGTTGTCTAAACTTGCCTCTTGGCTTGGAACAAAAGAGATTTGGGTATTTGTTTTATGTGTTCAGTACATATTTATTGTGCTGATGCTGAGCCAGGCACTGGGGACACACATCTATGGACAGATAAGGCCTTCGCCTTCCAGGGGCTGGTATTCTACTAGAGGCTGATGGATTAATCAAGTAAATGAAGTTCTGAGGAATATAGAGCACAAAGCTGTGCTGAGAGGTTAGGGTTTCAGGCAAAGAGAAAGGCAAGGAAAAGCCCAGAGACCTTCTCTGAGGAGGTGAAGTCTGAGTGAGAAGGCAGCCATATGAAGGTTTTAAGAAAGACAAATCCAAGGAGCAGGAACCACACAGTCATGAATTTGAATCCCCTTGCACAGTGGCTTCACTAAAGATTTTTAGGGCATGGGCTGGGAATATAGTTCATTTGGTAGAGTGCTTGCCTAATCCATGAAGCTCTGGTTTCAATCCCCAGCACTTGAGAGTTAGAGGCAGGAGAATCCGAAGTTCAAGGCCATTCTTAGCTATATGAGTTTGAATCAGCCTGGGCTACAGGAGACCCTAGCCAAAAAACAAATCCTCCCCAAGGGGCTTTGTCCAGGATCCCTTGATCTAGATCTAGTCCAAGTTCAGGAACAGGGTCACTCAAACAGCTCTAAAGGGGGCTTTTCTTGGGTTGGGAGCCTGGTTCTGAAGGTTTGTCTAAATCAAACCCTAAAACCTATAGCCCTAGGAAGCTCTTGGCTCATGCCTATAGATTATTGACACTGAGATCCCACTGGGCATGGTGGTGCATACCTATAATCCCCACACTAGGGGCACTGAGGCAAGAGGATGTAGAGTTCAAGGCCAGCCTGGGCTACATAGTGAGATCTTATCTCAAAAAGTGGGGGCTGGAGAGATGGCTCAGTGGTTATGACGAACACTGGTTGTTCTTGCAGAAGATCCAGGTTCGAATCCCAGCACCCACATGGTGACTAACAACTGTCTGTAACTCCAGTCCCAGGGGATCTGACAGCCTATAATCCCCACACTAGGGGCACTGAGGCAAGAGGATGTAGAGTTCAAGGCCAGCCTGGGCTACATAGTGAGATCTTATCTCAAAAAGTGGGGGCTGGAGAGATGGCTCAGTGGTTATGACGAACACTGGTTGTTCTTGCAGAAGATCCAGGTTCGAATCCCAGCACCCACATGGTGACTAACAACTGTCTGTAACTCCAGTCCCAGGGGATCTGACAGCCTCTTCTGACCTCCGCAGGCATTGCATGACACGGGTGTACTTACCTACATTCAGGCAATACACATATACACATAAATAAAATAAAAAGCCAAAAAGAAAAAGATGTTAGAAGATTCTTCTACCTTTTCATAGACATTTATTAAATACTTGCTGTGTACAGAGCAAGGTGCTAGATGCTGCAGAGGGGAAGTAGAGGTGCGTAACATACAAGGGAAGAGCAAGGGTCCTGTGTCTGGAGAGAGGAAAATTAATGGGCTGAGGGACTTGCAAAGGAAGTAGTAATTTCCTACTTGGTAGTCAAGGCCCTGAGGAGAGTGAGGGGACAACAGGACACAGAAGAGCACAGCAGAGCTGGGGCCTCACCTATCTGTCTTAGTCTGGCCTCATGGGGAGCGCTACAGCCGTATCCTTCAGTCAGTCCTACTTTGAGGTAGCAGGCCTGGCTTTCTGTACCCTGAACCAGTAGTGAATAACTATGAGAGAGACATAATCCTGGCTGTTCTGAGCCAGGTGACCCCTGTTCTGCCAAGGGCACTGTGGAGAAGGGGCTTCTGCAGTAAGCAACAGCCACAGATGCTCAGGGCTACCTACTTCTGTAAGCTGTGTTGTTCAAGTGTGTCCTAGAATCTAGGATAGAAGCTGAGGCTGGGCTAATCCCTGGGAAGTATCCTCTCCTAGTTTCTATCTATCAGGCCAAGGTACAGGATGGCCATTTATACCAGCTGTCTCTACTTTGACTCTAGGGGACACTGACTCCCTCCAAACTAGGGCCAGGTAGGAGAAGCTCTGCCCAGATGGTATAGTCCATCTTCATCCCTTCCGTGCCCTCTCCTGCATACTTAGTGCCCAAACCTTGCCTTTCAGCTATTCCTCTCACTGCTTATGGACCCATGGCAGCGGCAGCAGCAGCAGCAGCTGTGGTTCGAGGGACAGGTGAGGCCTTCTGTGAAGGGAGTACAGGGAGCGGATAAGTCCAGAAGGAAGAGGTGGCTGCTACCCATTGGCAAAGCAATTAATTTATTCACTCAAGTATTTGCTGAGCTGCCACTCTGTGCTGGGTGTTGTGGTCTCATCCAGGAGCCAGCCAGAGGCAACACTGACAGGGTCTGTGACCTCCGGAGAGTACAAGCTGTGGGGGTATGAGTATGCAGAAAGCCGTAATCCTGAAGAGCACTACTGCAGCTCAGGGGAAGTCAGGAACTAGAAGAGCTCCCACATGGGCCTTTAGGGAAGGGCCAAGGAAAGGCTTATGGGACAAAGGCAGAGAAAGAGGGAAAGTACTTCTGGCTGAGGGAACAGCATGTGCAAAGCCTTGGAGGCAGGTTACCATGGGTCATGTGAAAGAGTAGATAGTGGGGACAGTGGGATTTCAAGCTGCAGCGTGACATAGGCCAGTGTTAGAAAATGCACTAGGTTGCAAGGCAGAGGAAGTCTTGTAGGGGCTCATGAGGAGAGGCTGTTCAGTGGTCAGACATGAGGTGATGAGGCCTGGGCTAAAGATGGTAGGGCAGATGGATATAGTAATTTCCAGGGGGTAAATCCACAGAATTTGCTGGGCTGTGAGGGTCAAGGTTTGAAGTGGGGATGGGAGGGTTGTTGGAGTGGATGTGTTGGGGTGGTCATGGGCACCGGGGCTCTCACTGTCTTCTTTCTGGGTTGCCAGGCTCTCACCCCTGGACGATGGCTCCCCCTCCAGGTTCTACTCCCAGCCGCACAGGGGGCTTCCTGGGGACTACCAGCCCTGGCCCCATGGCTGAGCTCTACGGCGCAGCCAACCAGGACTCGGGGGTCAGCAGTTACATCAGTGCCGCCAGCCCTGCCCCCAGCACTGGTTTTGGCCACAGTCTTGGGGTGAGTGGTCAGGTCTGATGGCTTCCATCTCACCCCCAACCCTGGGATACCCCAGAATTGGGGGAGGGAGAGGCCATGTTCATCTTCTTAGGTAAAGAGGGGATTGAGAGATAATGGATGGGGAAAGAAAGTGTTCAGAGGGACAAGAGGGCATCCTGTGATTGGCTTTAACTGAACACTGTCCAGTGACTCTGAGATGTTGTACAAATGGAATATTGTCTTTCTGAGATCAGAGACCAGCGCAGTAGTACCCTAGTTTTAACCAGGGAACTGGTTTTGCACAGGTTCCCTAGCCCTGCCTTGTCTCCTAGCAGATCTGTAACAAGGCAATATGCATGGGCTAAAGAAGGACCCATGCTTCACCTTGGGTTCTCAAGGGAAGGCAGGAGCCCCCAGGTTGTCTCAACTTGCTGTGGGATCCTAGGGGCCTATTTTTTTTTCTTTCCAGGGTCCCTTGATTGCCACAGCCTTTACCAATGGGTACCACTGAAGCAGGGGACAGGTGGCAGGAGGTGAGGAGATGAAGAGGGGTGGGAGGTGGTATTGGGGAAGCTGATCCTGGCAATGCCATTCTGGATGCGTCCCCACCTCATAAAGCCCACTGCCCACTGCAGGAGACAGACCTGTATGTCAGCAGTGGTCAATAAATATATGAGAAGCAGCTCAGCCAGCTACTGATAAAAGTTAAGGGAGGTATGAGGTGCAGGTAATCTCTGCACTTGGGAGACCATGGCAAGAAGATTGCTTTGAGTTAGTTCTAGGCCAGCCAGGGCTTTGCTGTGAGACTTTGTCTCAAAAATCCAAAAAGAAACCTAGAGGAAATGGCTCAGTTGGTAAAGTACCTGCTGTGCAACTGTGAGGACCTGAGGTCAGGTCCCCAGAACTCATGTAAAAAGATGGGCACAGAGGCACTGGGAGGGGAAGGGCAGAGACAGGCCTATCCCTTGAATTCATTAGCCAGCCACTCTAACCAAATGTACAAGTTGATAGAGGCACCCTATTTCAAAAAGCAAAGATGAATATCAATTAAGGAAAGACATTGGACATCTTCCTTTGGCATGTAGGTACATGTATACCCTCACACATACATGCAGATACCCACACTAAAAAGTACATATACCATACATACACTATATATATATATTTTTTAGATATAGATAGAAGATACATAATAGATCGAGCAATCAAGCACCAGCATTGGGGAGGCAAGGGAAGGAAGGTTACAAGTTCAAGGTCAGCCTACATAGTGAGTTCCAAGCCAGCCTGATGTGCATAATAAATCCCTGTCTCCAAAAAGCAAATTGCTGGTCATGATAGCGCACACCTTTAATCCCAGCACTTGGGAGGCACATGCAGGCTGATCTCTGTGAGATGGAGGCCAGCCTGGTCTATATAACAAGTTCCAGGCCAGCTGTGGCTGCAGGGAGATCCTGTCTCAAAAAATCAAAAAACAAAGAAGGAAAGGAAGGAAAGGCAGGGAGGGAGGGAAGAAACCAAAAATTAGCCAGGTGTGGTAGCTCACGCCTTTAATCACGGCACTTGGGAGGCAGAGGCAGGTTGACCTCTGTGAATTTGAGGCCAGCCTGGTCTACACTGTGAGATCCAGGACAGCCAGGGCTAGATAGTGAGACCCTGTCTCAAAAAAAAAAAAAAAAAGAGAAAGCTGGGAGGGGTGGTTGTACTCCTTTAATTCCAGCCCTCAGGAGGCAGAGGCAGGGTGACCTCTGGGAATTTGAGGCCAGCCTGGTTTACACTGTGAGACCCAGGACAGCCAGGGCTAGATAGTGAGAACCTGTCTCAAAAAAAAAAAAAAAAAAGAGAAAGCTGGGAGTGGTGGTTGTACTCCTTTAATTCCAGCACTCAGGAGGCAGAGGCAGGTGTATCCCTGTTAGATTGAGGCCAGCCTGGTCTACATAAGCAAGTTCCATGCCAGCTGAAGCTACAGGGAGACCCTGTCTCAAAAGAAGATTTAAAAAAAAAAAAGAAAGAAAAACCCAAAATAATTATTTAATTTAATTCATTTAATAATATAACAAATAAGTTAATAAAATATGATCATATTTCATTGAACTGATAGATTATTTTATGATTGATAACATCCAGCATTGCTGAATGTATAGGAGAAACTGTTTAAATTGGCTCAGAGTTCCCAAGGAGCAGTCTGACAGTTACCCAGGCTTTTTTCAGTTTTCTACAGTGCTGCAGGTTGAACCTGGGCCTTGTGCTTGCCTGTCATCATCTACAATGATCTATAGCCACTGCTCTATCCAGATTTTTAAGTATTCCTTTGCTCTTTGATTCAATATTCCATTTCTAGGCATTTGTTTTAAACCGTCAAATAGCTGAAATGCTTATAAAAAGGAGTGTGGTCAGGGATGTTGCTCAGTGGGTAGAGTAGGTAGAATATGAAGTCCCCAGCACCACATAAAACAGGGTGTAGTGGCCATGCCTGCAATCCCAGCACTCAAGAATTAGAGGCAGGAAGATCAGAAGTTCAAGGTCATCCTCAACTACATAGGAAGTTTAAGGCCAGCTTTGGCTACATGAGACCCTGTGTCAAAAAAAAAAAAAAAATTTAAGAGGGTGGTTAGATAAACTATATGCTTACAGTAGAATATTACACAGCTGTTACAAAATAAGATATGAACTGGGCATGGTGGCTCATACCTGTAATCTCAGCACTCAGGAGGCTGAGGCAGGAAGATCACAAGTTTGAGACCAGCCTGGGCTACACTCTTAAATTCCAGGTCAATCTGGGCTGAAGAGTAAAGCCCTGTCTCAAAAAAAAATCACACATGCAGCCAGGCATGATGGCACACACCTTTAATCCCAGGACTCAGGAGGCAGAGGCAGGCAGATCTCTGAGTTCAAGGCCAGCCTGGTCTACATAGTAAGCTCCAGGCTAGCTGGGATTACAAGAAGACCCTGTCTCAAAAAGACAAAAAAAAACAAACAAACAACAACAACAAAAAAAAAAACCACAAGCAACACACACTATGGTTTTTTTGTTGGTGGTGGTTTCTTTGGTTTTTTAAGACAGGGTCTCCCTGTAGCCCCAGCTGTCCTGGAACTCACTATGTAGACCAGGCTGGCCTTGAACTCACAGAGATCCATCTGCATCTGCCTCCTGAGTGCTGGGATCAAAGGCGTGCGCCACCACACCCGGCTCACTACTTTTTTTAAAAGTAAAAACAATAATAATAAAGCAGAGCCTGGAGAGACAGCTCAGCAGTTAAGAGGGCTTTCTGCTGTCCCAGACACCATAGTTTGATTTCCAGCACACATCCAGCAGCTTACAACCACCTGTAACTCCAGTTCTAGGGGATCCAGTGCCCTCTTCTGGTCTCCACATGCACCTGCACTCACATGCACATACCTACACACAGCAGATACATGAGTACACATAATTTCTTAAAATAAATCGTTAAAAAAATATAAAAATAAAACAAATAAGATAATTTCATATAGTATGAAGGGGCTGCTTTCAGTAAGGGTTTCAGAGGAAGCATCCCCAAGAATGTGATGTAAATCTAGCCATTCAAGATCTGGAGGTATTACACAAACAGGGAGCAGGAAGTGCAAGGTCTGAACAGGGGATCAGGAAAGAAGGCATCCCTGTTCTGAGGGCTCGAGAGAGAGGCCAGGTGGAGTCAGAGGCCCCTCCATAACTTGCAACTATCTTTCAGCGCCCCAGAGTGCAGCTGACTGAGGACCAGTGTGAGCCAGCGAGGGGTGGGGACACCTCAGCCACAGCAGCCCAGCCCCTCACTGCAACTTGGACCGCTACTGCCTGTCCCCCACTCCTTGGGCCCAGCCCCTGCCCTGCTGTCCCCACACGTCTGGCTCCCCTACTAACCTCCCTTTTTCTGACCATACCCCCTCTCCCTATCTGCCTCTCTCCGTGTCTGCTTTTATTTATTTTGGATTAGCCAGTTACCCATCTCCCCAAATCTCCCTTTTCCGGTCTGCCCCCTCTCTTCCTGCTGCCCCCTTAGGACACCCCCAAAAAAGCTTTTGTATTTGTGCATAGCTAGAGGGCAGAGGAAGCCTGATACAGGCCACAGCCCCAACCCTTGTTTTTTATTCTGATTTTTTCCTCTTTTGCTCTTTACTTTTTTTTTTTTTTTTAAAGAAACTGTTTTTAAACTATTTCTAGGTTTGTGAATGTGAAGCCCCAGGCCGCAGGGGGCAAGGGGCCAGGTGCCCCCCACCAGCTGAGAACAAAGTGTCTATGTGGGTGTGGGCCCCTGGCTGCCTCCCTCCAGCCCTGGAGAGGAAGGCAGGGCTGCGGGGTAGGCCAGGCCGAGCCCCTGGAACCATCCCGTCCTGTATCATATGTAAATACTGTGAGGTGAAGCCCCCACCCCTCTCTAAGACCCCCTTGGGGGTGAGGGCATTGCCTGACCCCACAAGGCCAAGGTCTCCCCTCTCCCCTGTTTCTGTCCCCTCAGACACCGTTACTGTAAGCTTGCAGGCCTCAGCTCTGGCCATGGCAGGCCCACATTCTCAGGCCCTCGGGGGTCAAGGCCTTGGGCCTACTCACCCCAGAAACCCAGTGTGGAGGCAAGGGGTGAGGGAAGAGAAGGGCTTGCCCAGAGCCACTGCTGGAAAGCAATTAACTCTCCAAAGGCCTCCCCTGTCCCCTGCCTAGGTGGGACCTTCATGGTTTCTGCTCTGAGCCCTGCCCCCCATGAGTGGGCATCAAGGGCACTTTAGTAAAGAGCAGATGCCAGGGGAAAGCAAAGGGCTTCTCAGGGAACCCCCACATTCTCACTGAAGTTTCCCATCAGGTTGGTCTTGTGGCCAGAGCCCTTGGTAGCCCCTTAACCCAGAACCCCTGTCAGAGGAAAAGGACAGGCTCTGTATGAGCATGAAGTGGGACCTGGCTGGCGGCAGGGCTGAGGCCCACCCACTGTCACCCAGTCTATGTCCCTCTCCGCCCAAGTTTGAGGCTGGGGGCTTAATCTCCCTTCCCCGGCAGAGCCCCCATCCCTCAAAGCACCCTTTGGAGAGTTCATTGTCTGTGTGAGGTGCTCACCCTGAACACAAAGCAATAATCTTTGTTACCGAGGTGCGCGGCTGTTTGCGTTTGCTTCTTTTTTTCTTTTTTTTTAAACATTTCCTAATAAAAGAGAAGCTGCATTTATTGGTTTTAATTTTTAATTTTCTACACTTCTGAGCTGAGTCCCAAGAGACTTGGCTTCCCTTTCTTCCTGTCCCTGGACCCTTTCACCCTGCTGGGCCCAACCATGGGTTCAGGGACCTAGCATTCCGTTTTCTGATTTTGTCTGAGGAAAAAAAAAACCCACAAAACATTTTTAAAGATGTTACATGGTGTTTCGAGGCCAGCAAGTTACCACCCTCCGGTGTCTCTTCTCTCCACATCTGTAACTTCTTTTTCCAGGTTTTATTTTGTTTTAAATTCCTAATAAATTATTTGAAAACGGTGCTAAGTTTGAGTGTCTTGAATCTATGTGTATTGTTTGAAGTAGCCTGGAGACACCTCATTTCTTTCCATGGGTGCAAGGTGCAGCACAACTCCACTCTCCCTTTGAGGATTCTGGCTGGGTCCCCAAATTAAGTTGACATACTAGATTAGCAGGAGGGCTAGAGATATAGCTTAGTGATAGAGTGCTTGCCTAGCACGTGCAAAGCCCTAGTTCAATCTCTAGCACTGCCGAAAAAAGAAAAGATTATCAGGAGAAAAGTGTACCTATTTACTTAATAGAAACTACATGGTGCAGGTGCCTCGTAAAAGAAATGAGGTAAGGCTGGGCCAGGCGTGGTGGCCCACACCTTCAATCTCAGCACTCAGGAGGCAGAGGCAGGCAGTTCTCTGCCAGATCAAGGCCAGCCTGGTCTAAATGGTGAGTTCTAGGCCTGCTGGGGCTAACAGGGAGACCCTGTCTCAAAAAGACAGAAAAAGAAATAACACAAGAGCTGATGATGTTCAGCAGGGAAAAGCCTGGCAATCCGATGTCAATCTCTGTGTCCCACATGATGTAAAGAGGGAACTGACTCCCAAAAGTTGTCCTCTGATCTCCATATGCAAGCCCTGTCAATCAAGAAACTCAAATGCCAGTCCATCCTAGCTATCTTGTGAAACCCTGAACAGAGTGAAACCCTGTCTCAAGCAAAGTAAGACAGGTATGATGGTTCAAGCATATTATAATCCCAGCAGTTAGGAGCCTGAGGTAGGAGGATCCCAGCAAGTTCCAGGCCAACCTGGTCTACATAGCAAGTTCAGACTAGCCAGAGCAACATAGAGTGATTTCTTGTCTCACCTCCTACCCCAAACATACAAACGTTTTTTGTTTTTAACTTCCACTGTGGGTTATGGAAGTTGAACTCAGGTCATCAAGCTTGTACGGCAAGTGCTTTTACCCACTCAACCACCTTACTGGCCTAAACAAAAACTTTTTTAAAAATTAAATGACTCATGAGCCAGCACAGAGGAAGGTTAATCTGTGAGATTGAGGCCAATTTGGCGTATGTATCGAGTTACGAGCTACGGCTACAGGGAGACCCTGTCTTTAAAAAAAAAAAAGACTCATGAGCTAGCAAGATAGCTCAGTGGGTAAAGGTGCTTGCCACACAAGCCTGGTAACCTGAGTTTCAGTCCCCAGAACCCACACATAAAGATGAAAAGAGAGAACCCACTCCACAGTTATTCTCTGACCTCTACAAGTGCACTGTGGACACACACACATACACATATGAGCACTTACACAATAGTTATTTTGTAACTCCCACATAATCTCCCCAGCTCCAGTTATTTTTTTATCTTTTCGATTATTTTATTTCTATTTTATGAATGTTTTGCCTGTATGTCTGTGCATGCAATGCCCACGGAGCCCAGAAGAGGGTGTCAGATCCCTGGAACTGGAGTTATGATTGTTGTTAGCTGTCATGTGGGTGCTAGGAACCAAACATAGGTCCTCTGCAAGAACAGCCAATGCTCTTAACCACTGAGCCATCTCTTCTGCCCCATCCCAACTCCTTGTTCCTAAGGATGTTGCTTTTGAGCCAGCACTTGCCACACAAGCAAGAGGACCCACATAAATGCTGGATGGGCACATGACCTGCCTGTAATTTAGCCTCAGAAAGCTGAAACGGGCTCCTCAGAACAAGCTGGCTTCAGAGACTAGCCTTATCAGTAAGCTCTAAGTTTGACTGAGAGACCCTGCCTCTCAGGGTGGAAGAGCAATAGAGGATTCCCAACATGAACCTTGGTAATCCATACACACCACACCCATGCATGTGGCCACACTCAGGCATACCACATACACATAAAAAAGGAAAACCCGGGGCTGGAGAGATGGCTCACCAGTTAAGTGCACTGGCTGCTCTTGCAGAGGTTTGATTCCAAGCACTCACATGGTAGTTAACAAACTTCATAATTCCAGTTCCAGGGGAATTCAACACCCTCTTCTGACTTCCTTGGGCATTTCATGACATGAGTGCACTCATAACATGCAGACAATACACTCATACACATAAAAATGAAAATAATTTTTTTAAAAAAAGGAAAACTTTTTTTTTTTTTTTTGGTCTTTTTGAGACAGGGTCTTCCTGTAGCCCCAGCGGTCCTGGAACTCACTATGTAGACCAAGCTGGCCTCGAACTCATAAAGATCTGCCTGCCTCTGCCTCCCAAATGCTGGGATTACAGGCGTGTGCCACCACGCCCAGCAGGAAAACCCATTTTTAATTAAATGACTCAAGCTGGTAAAGGTAGTTACTTATATACTGCATTGAACTGGAGAGAGTAACAAAGTATGAAGAAACAAATTATGTGGGGAGGTTACAAAATAACCTTTTATTGTGTATGTGAGTGTTCATGTGGGTATATGTGCATGGGTGTGTGTGCACATGCATGTGTGTGGAGGTCAGTCTTAATGCCACCTGCCTCCTTTGAGACAGGATCTCTACTTGGCCTGGAGTTGGCCAGCTAGGTTAAGCTGGCTAGCCAATCAGCCCCAAGCTGTCTCCTCCTCCCCAGAGCTGAATTTACAAGTGCACTTTTTCACCAGGGTTCGGTGGATTGAACTCAGGTCTTTGAGCTTACACAGCAAGCACTTTGCCAGCTGAGGCATCTCCCCAGCTCAAGAGTTATTTGACCAAGGTCTGTATAGAACTCTGTCTTTACTTGTTTTTTGTTTTGTTTTGTTTTGTTTTGTTTTGAGACAAGGTCTCACTATGTAGCCCTGGCTGGCCTAGAACGCCCCAGGTAGACCATGTCTATGCTGGTCTCCAGCTCACAGCTCCACCTACCTCTGTGTCCTGAGTGCTCAAGTCCTTGTTCTTGAAGATGTTGCTTTTGAGCCAGTGCCTGCCAGTATTCCCAGCACTCAGAAGGAGTAGGATGCAGGAGGCCCATCAACTTGAGACCCTATTTCAAAAAACAAAATGAGAGCCTGACGTGGTGGTGCATGTCTTTAATCCCAGCATTTGGGAGGCAGAGGCAGGTGGATCTCTGTGAGTTTGAAGCCAGCCTAGTCTACATATCGAGTCAGGTCAGCTGGGGCTACAGGGAGACCCTGTCTCAAAAAGACCAAAAAAAAACAAAAAACAAAAAACTGAAATAACAGCAAAAGAAACAGTACCAAGTTCAGAGAGATCTGATCACAGAGTGGTGCATTTTTAACTCCCTTGCTGCCATCACCTTGTCCTGTTTTCCTCCTGGGAATGGTCCTGATTTTCCCATTGACCCAATTTCTACCTCCAGCTTCTTGGCCATGCTCAGGAAAAAATAAATAAATAAATAAATAAAGAATAAAAATAAATTTAAAAAAAAAACAAGAAAGAAAGAAGGAAAGGGTGGAGAGGGGCCGGAAGGAGGAGGGAATGAATGTTGGAACCCTTACTTATTGCTGGAGGAAACGTGAACTGGTGATGCAGGGCTGCAGATGGAGCATAGTTGGAAGGACACCACATGAGGAATCCTAACCA